TTTATTTTATAATCGAAACGATAACCGGTTCTGAAGCAAACAGAAATTAGAGAGTAAAACCGCTGAAATTGCTTTTAAAATCTGAGGACAGTAAAGAGTCGCCGGGGACCGGAGAATACGGTGAGTGTGGAAGCAATTCGAAGTCCCGTTCATGGATTTCGCAATTATTTGAATGTTTTTGTGACATGATGCAACGGTGAATTGCAAGGTCGTGCAACACATCTCCGAAAATCAAGTTTATCCTCTACATGCAACAGCTGTGAAATTTATATCCGTTTCATTTAAAGGTTTGTCCTAACTACAAGTATGAAACATAAACAAGCAATTCTAGTGATTGACAAGTTCATTTATACTTGTAGAACCAATATGAAATTTTCAGCCTTCCTGATATAATATGCACTATGATTCAAACAAAATCTTGTATGGAATTCTTTCTTGTCTTATATGGTTTTACAAAGCAACGACTTTAGTAGTTTCATTTCCCAACCGCTATAGGGTGAGTTGTTAGCTGATCGATAATTACCAATGAATATAGTTACATCTTCAGGACACTAAAAATTTCGAAATGGTTTTTCTGAAAACTGGATACACTTCAGTTTCAGTTCCTTCGATGAAAAATCTTTTCTAACGAGCCTTAAGCTCACATTAACTTATGTTCCAAACACAATTAATCATTAAAATTAATGTTGCAAGTCTGAACTTCTATTAATTATGTCAACGACATTAATATCAAACGTGGATATCAATACTTTCAAAAGGCATATGGTATCACACATAGACAGTGGGGAAATACCTTGTTGGTATGAGAAAAGATTTATTAGTAAAATTTAAGCACTATTAGTCAATGTTTAATTCTCCTTCTTGGTTTTTATTGCCAGTGTATTCCGAAACTCCAAAACTTCTTCTTGAAAAGAATCCGCAAAATTTTGATCCCTGCAAACTGAATGAAGAACTTCTGCTTATTACTTCAATCGTTGAGTTGATATTTACGCAGCTTTATTACATTTGAAGCTTTTATATAAAGTTTTGACAAACTTTAAACAAATAACCATGTCAGATAAGAAACTGTCAACCTCGTGGTTGTTTTAAAAATGAAAAATAACCAGAAATTTGATTCTGAAAACCGGAAAGCAAGACTGACACCAGGTCCACAGAAATCACTTCAACTTATTTGATATTGTGGAAGTCAACTTTGAATTCCATATCAAAAGAATTATTACAAATTTTATCACCCTAAAAGCTATTTTAAGATATTCTGAAGATGAAAGTGAGATAAGTAGTAATAGGCAACATTAAATATTGCCATTATTAACTATGAATGATTACTTTTCCTATCGTGTTAAACGGCTAGAATTGATGTTATTCGATTCAACAAATTTATTACAGGCTTCGACCAGCTCGTCGATGCATAAGGGTCTTTTTGTTCATAATAATATGATTATATGCTTACATCGAGAATCAGCGTTACCCCGTAAAATAACCTAACCTCAACTTTCTCTTAACAATTTTTATCCGAGGTAGTCACATATATAAACCATTCTAATGGGAGCTTTAAAGTTGGTTTGTACATATTCTCAATGAGCGCTGTTCGAGTTTATCAAAGAGTTATGAAATAACTATATCGGTATGCTTAAAATGCAAAATAGGGGGGGTTAAAATTCTTAAATTTCGATATGACATTGGCATTAAAATGTATTGTTTTCAAAACAACACTTTCGTACAATGTACATGAAAACTTAAACACCCTTGTGAACTATTAAAACTTTAGTAAACTCAAGATAAAAATAAAAATAATAATAAAAATGAGTAACTTTTTGTGCTGTTGGCAGAACTCACAAGGTAATAATTGCGAACACGTAGCCACATTGCACGAATGCCACCCACTAGGCCGCCTGCGACTTTAATTTAAAATGTAAATTAAAACGATGCCATCACGGCCACCGCTGTTACAGTTATGAGATGCGCAACTACATTTGCTGACAGCAGAAAAAATTTGCCTACAGATTAACACGGATCTGTAGCCAACTGGCGGATGTTTCTACCGTAACCACGTAGCAACTTACGTACAGAGCGCTTACAGTTCACCGCCGCTAATGAAGTTGTAGAGAACGACATTGACTCTAGCTGTAAGTGCGCGCTATTGTACCGTAGTTGCAACATTTTTAAACAACAACAGCAACAGTAATGACAGTCGCAAAAAATCGCAGAAAAACCACTCATTGCAGCAACAATTCGTTTTGGCTTACATATAAATAGATAGCATATCTACCGCTATTAAGTGCATGTTTGTGTTTGCGTGCAATTAAACCAAGTGCAATTAGCCACATAACAATAATTGCCTTTGAAACAGGACATGCTGTAGGCGAAATTGTTGCAGCAAACAAGAAAAAAAAAGTGCAGCTTAACAACAATAATAACAATAACAGTAGCAATCGTTTAAAGTACTCACGCAAATATGCTTGTGTCAGCACATATACGCACACATGTGTGTGACATACATATATAGTTGGCGCTTTAAAGTTGCAAGCTGCCACATGCTGCTGCCTTGCATTTAAAGTACTTAAATTATTTAAAAATCAGCTTTAGCCACAGAAACCATTTTAATGCTTCGTTAAATCACCAACACAGAAGCCTTGCACTTAAGAACATGCACATGTGTGCGTGTGTGCGGCTGTATGGACGTTTGCTATAAATTAGGGCAGCAACGAGGTTGCAAATATGCACTCAGCACCGCCCGAGCGTTAGTTTACAAAAACACGCACATAAACCCACACATGTTCACGGCTACATGCGCATATTTACCACAAAATTGTCAAATTAGTTAGTGTTCTTTTTTTGTGCAAGCAGCCAGGGCTTGGATTATTTATGTTTGTGGAAATTAGAGTCATGTGATGCATGAATAGAAGCAAATTAAAGCTAAGACTATTAAGAGAAACTTTAAATGATTAAGGCAGCAATAAATTCACTTTTTCGAGGTATTCTTTGACGAGCTTGGCTCAGAGTTGGTATGACCGATCGTTGGACTGTACCAAAAGCTTGGCATGAAATCAACGCTCAATCATTAGTACAGAATAATTCAGGTTTATAACGAAGTAAAAGATACGCTGAGGAGTTCATATCGCTGTAATAAGTTAAAGCCAATCTTCAAAAAGAAATTGTATGAATTTCACAGCTATCCGGCTAATGGTTCCGAGTTATAGCATTTTGAGCGACGCAAGTTTGATTTAAATAAATAAAAACTAAATGGAATTTAATTTGTTAATGAAATTACGTGTTTGAGTTTTATGCACAGCGAGGCAGCTATTTGCAAGTTTACTTAACTCCGTATAGGCCATATGAACCCCGAATACGATGAACGTAGTTGACGTCCGAAAAAGGCCGTTGCGAACGAAAACACCAATAAAATCCACGAAATCATGAGCTGCATCCCTCATGCCTCAAGATATGGCTACCTGGACCTAATTTCAAAAAAAGAAATCGTATGACAAAAAATAGTATCGAAAATTTCGAGGTTAGGTTAGGTGATACTGGAAGACCGTCACGCCATACATAGTCCTACTGGTCCTTAGTAATGCCAAATGGAGATTCAGTTTAATACGAGCTGAATTCTACGTCGTGAACCCCCCCTTTAACAGCGAAGCTTCTAGATATCTAAGACGAGTTCTAGATAAGGCTGAACAGAAGCATAGAAGGTGTTTCAACATCTCTCTAATGCCCAATCGCCTACACTTTCTGCATGTGTCGTCGTTACTTATACCCATCCGGCTCATGTGATGCCAGTATATTGTGACCTGTCATTAGGCTAACAACCGTCCTGCAGGATTCCTTCCGATTCCTTATGTGTAAAAATAATGCGTTTTTTCTTCGGTGCTCTTGCACATGATCACGGTGATCCTACGTGGCCTTAAGGCATTCCATCTCGCCATTCTCTCTAGACGAATTCGAGGCAGAGATAATACCATGCCCGCTAGGAACGGTTAAGAGGAGGCTCAATACAAAATTTGAACAAATAGCTCAAAAAAGATGGAAATATATAACCAAATGCAGTATAGCGAAATATTTGCGGCCAAAATATGGTAAGAAAAAAACTAAGTATTTATTAGATAGGTCCAGGAAATGTATACACAGACTTCCATAACGGTGGCATTGGTCATTTTGAGAACATGCGTTAAAACTCAAGCGAGTAACAAAATTTTTCCACACTTTCTTTGTGAGTGTCCAGCTCAATTGCAAACCAAACAGCGAACTGTTTTCCAACTTTTACTTGTCTACTTCGGATCGTAGCTTTCATGATTGCTATTTATTTTGTCCTAGAGCTTACACAATTTTACAAAAATAGTTTTTTAATTGTAAAAATCACTGTACTTAAAAAATGTTATGTAATTTTGAGTACGAAAATTCTGTATCGATTAATATGACTGCTTGTTGTATTAACTCAATACCAATCAACTGAGCAGTGCGTTCAGCCACCGGTCAGTGTGTCAGTTTAAGCCTATAAGAACAGTCAATAATACCATTAAATATTGAGTAAGCAAAGGAAAATTATATTTGCAAACCACTTAAGTGCGAGCGTAAAAAGTCATTCGAAGGATTACACTTTTATGCCACGCAACGAGAGCGCCTCCGCAGAACCCACGAGCGCTTGTGCAGTGCAAGTAAACGAAAGTGGTAATGTGAAGGCCAAATTGAGTGGCGTCCAACGTCCAACGTCAAAAGTTGAAAAATAAAAAATTATGATTGCCATTAAGTGAAACAGAGACGTCAATCTGTGTGGCAAGCAGACATTTCGGCCATCCGTTGGATAGAAAGCGAGGCCAACAGCACCTGGTGCTTGCTGTCAATATGACACAAGGGACCGAATGGCGGTCAAGTATTGGGTATTTTTGTTGGTCTATCCACTTCCGCAAATAACATTTATATATACTCTTAACAATTGAAGAATTAACAGAAATATGTTTAATATTGATATTAATTTTTTCGGAAAATTTGTTTAATTACAGGTGCCGGGCCCCAATTGCGTCACTCGACTGCATGGAGGAGTTCAGTGGTACGGGAGGTCATCTTGATTTCGGTATCAAATTTCTCACTACCAATTTCTGCCGCTTGTACTCGTGTTCTAATTATTAGTGTTCTCATTTCTTTCTCATGTTTTCGTGTGTACTCGTGTTTGTTCAAGTATTTCAAAAGTTCAAAAATAATATTTCATTATTTACTGTTTTGTAGACTACAAAAACGATATTCGAAGAAATTTTGTTTTTACGTTTTTGTGTTTTAAAAAATTTTTGTACATTTGTGTCTACATAATAACAGTTACATTTATAATTCATTCATTAATTACATTAATCAATTCATGCATCAATTAATCAGTATTGTTGTTGTTAAAATAGATACATAGCGCAAAACTAGGTAAAGTTGTCCAGTAATATTGTAATTAATATGAAATATATGACTTGTAAATTGAGGTTATAATTTTTATTTCACCATCCGGCTCAACACGCACATGGCAATATCACTATGTCCACCCAAATTAAATTTATTATCGCGACTGAGTGCCATTTTTTGCAATCAACTAATTATAATTTGCTTACACTCAAACTATTTTCAACATATGATAATACCACCAAGTCCAATATTTCGTGCACAAGATTTCTACACCATATATTTCTTATTTCTTATTGTTTTTGTGAAATCAGAATTAATATTTGCACGCTACTGTACACGCTGCTCGTAGCAATTGGTCGCTATCTCATACGTTTGCACGTCAATATCGCTTAGTTGAATCAAATTAGCTATTCATGGCTTTAGCTGAACCATTTTGTTGACTAATGCTCTCTTCTCTTTGTGTCACTCTGCACGCGTTGTGAAGGCCGTTCGATAAGTTTGGGTTCGAATCCGGCACTACCGTTACGGCATGGCTCCACACCGACGCCCGGTTTGCGCTACAAGAATCTTGGCAAGAGCGGCTTGCGCGTCTCCAATGTCGGCTTGGGCACGTGGCCTGTTTTCTCGCCCGGCGTTAGTGACGAACAAGCCGAAGCCATATTGCGTTTGGCCATCGAGAGTGGCATTAATTTGTTTGATATCTCAGAGGCGCATTCAGAGACGGAAATCGGAAAAATTTTGCAGCGCACTGGCTGGAAGCGAACAGCATATGTAATTACGACAAAGGTCTACTGGAGCACCAAGTGAGTAATAAATAAATTATACAGTACATATGGGTCTGAGGTGAACACACGTATGAGTTTTTCGATGAGAAAGTTTTTTGATAGGTGCTGAATAGGTGTTGAACAGGGTATGTTAAGTTTGCCACGAAGTTTGTAATACTCAGAAGGAAACGTCGGAGACTCTATAAAATATATATACAAACGATCAACATGACGATCTCAGTCGATTAAGCTATGTCCGTCTGTCTGATATATTTCGTATGGAACTTTTTCAGAAACAGCCTCGCCTATCGAAGTACTTGTTGTCAGTGATTTTCTACTGGCCCTTTTCTTTTTCCGTAGCTTCTCTCGTAAATTGAAAGGGCTTACAGTGAAAAACGGTTCCAGTCTTTATGAACTGGCTCCTCAGATTAGCTGAGGGTAGCTAATTACCATTTTGATTTGATTTCAACGGACGAGATTTATTGAAGTGTCGTTTGATTATCTTTATTATCAGACTTTATACTACGAGAACACTGTAAGACATTCATGACTGGGAGAGAATGGATTAAGTAAACGAACGACATACTTCTCTTTAAATAAATCTCTGTTGATCAAATTGATTTATGTTATGTGATAAAAGTTTATGGTCGTCAGCTAAACCCACGGTTTCTAATGAGCAAATCTCCTTAAAATCTTACACTTTAAGACCAAAATAGAGATCGGAATTACTTAAGGTAGAGTCGCTATTCGGAACCATTGTAATGAAAGTATAAGGTCTATTAGACTGTTACCGTTTGTGACAAAGAAATTCCATTTTTATACTTTTACAACCTTGTATATTTTATAACATCTTTTATTTTCAACTTCTTCTGCAGATCCGAAGAACGTGGCCTTTCACGCAAGCACATCATCGAGTGTGTCAAAGCAAGTTTGCAACGTTTGCAATTGCAATATATAGATATTGTGATTATACACAAGGCGGACGCTATGTGCCCCATGGAAGGTGAATAATATTATATTATTAGTTTTCGGATCAAATGTTTAACACGTTTTCCTAATTGCTTTCTACTCTTTCGCACAGAAGTTGTACGTGCCATGAACTATGTCATCCAGCAGGGCTGGGCAATGTACTGGGGCACAGCACGTTGGTCACATGTCGAGATCATGGAAGCCTACACTAACTGCCGGCAGTTCAATTGCATTACACCAATAGTCGAACAATCAGAGTACCACATGTTTTGTCGCGAGAAATGCGAACTCTATTTGCCAGAAATGTACAATAAGATTGGTGTTGGCCTAATGGCTTGGGGACCGCTTTCAATGGCATTGGCCGATACGCAAAATGGCGAAAAACTCTTTTTGCCAAAGGGATCATTCAAAACGAAAAGTCAAAGTTATTCATGGACAGAGGATGAAATTAACCGAAATGTAAGTATGAAAAGATGTGAAAAAATGAGCTAAAGTCAGATTTTTATATCCAATAAATAGTTGTAAGAGTTTTGTCTCATTTTAAAAGATTTTCTTTCACATTAACTGTATTTTTTTGTCGACTATGTATTGTTTTTAGGCGGCCTTATCGCCACAAGGCAGCTGGGGTAAAGATCGAGTGGATGAGGGGCGTCGACATTGTGATCGCTTGCGCGATTTGGCAGCACTGGCCGAGAAATTGGGTTGCAGTCCAACGCAGCTCTCCATTGCTTGGTCACTCAAGCATGAGCCGGTGCAATGTCTGCTTCTAGGTGCAACCTCGGCGGAACAATTGCATCAGAGTTTGCAATCCTTGCAGGTTAGCCGTTTTACTAAGCTTTAATTGTTTGTTTTCTAAACTTGCGACAATTATTTTTTCATGCAGCTACTGCCACGCCTCTCAACCAGCGTCTTAATGGAGTTGGAGCGCATATTAGAGAATAAACCGGTGCGGCCGCCAATGATATCGACACTCGCACTTCGGTGACAATCAGCCTGCCCTCAGGGGCCGCCTAGCCTCAGTGGCGGCGGCCCTTGTGGGGCAGAGTCACCGAAAAATGAGGAAGAGGCGTTCTGCGAAGAGGCCGATGCGAAGGATGCGTCAAAGCAGGGTTTCTGTGTTATTCAGTGACAAAAGGGGTCTTTAGATAACGATAATAAATTTTTGAAAGCGATTAGTAGTAAAACTAGTTTAAGTAGTACAACAATGACAACAACAATAAGCAAACATGACTTACAACTACAACAGCAGTTGCAGCAGCAACAACAACAACAACAGCAACAATTGTTACTACTACATCAGCCGGAGCATGCGCAGCAACCGCTACATGTGCATTACACAGACCAACAGCAACAAGCAAATTTACAAAAGCAACACCATTCTTCACACTTATTAAAATCTACAACCAATAAAAGTTTATTAATTAATAATACCGTTAGTAGTTTAGTCGACAACACCACAAATATTTACGATTTAGACGCTGCGACCGCAACGCTGACAACAGCATCTGTAACTGCTGCAACACCGTCGGCTAGCATCACAACAACAACAACTGCAACACGCTTAGATAGTGCAACCGCAATTATACAAATAGATTCCTTAAACAACAACACAACTAGTTTAAGTGCCACAACCAACGCCATCACAACCGCCACCACACCAACCAACAATAACGGCTGCGTGATGATACCAACCAGCGATGCAACCGAGTCGGAACCGAAAACTCAAAAGCGTCGCTCATTGCTCAACTTCAAATCGTTCGATTTTCACATCAAATCTCTATATTCTGGTTTGCGGAATGGCAACAAACACTCGCACTCCCAATCGTCTTCGCTGGGTGGTTGTGTAGGTGGCAGCAAAAGCGGCAGTAGCGCTGCTGACGGTGAGGGTAGAACCGACAATGCGAATGGTAGCGGTTTACTGGACGCCGTCACACCGATCGGTGGCCGTGGCGGCACAGCCATCAATAATCGCATGCCGCCCTATCTCAAGATCGAATCGGTCGATGCTGAGGAAGCGGAGAATCTACTGCTCGATTACCCACAATCGCCGTACTCTTCGCGTCGCAATAGCTCACACGAAGACGACAATCGTTCCAGTTCGCAGCTGTTGCACATCAACCGTTACGACATGTGTTCGCGGTCGCAGGCCAGTTCGCCTTCCCCGTACTACCTGTCACCATATGCCATCGATTCGGACAATATACGACGCTCCTCGACGTCGGACATTATGTCGTGCAAGCGCAGCGGTACATCCAGCGCGAGTGATAGCCGTCGGCCGAGCACGAGCGATCTGTTGCGGAAGGCGCGTGAACGGCGCGGTAGCGAGGCGCGAATGGGCCGCAGCGTTTCGCATAGTGGACTGCCGCGTGGTGGACCCCGTATAGGTGCGGGTGGCGGCGGAGGACGGCGTACGAGTATGGCATTTTAAAATGAAACCGTATATTGTACTTTGCAATAATAAATGACAAAGTGTGTTTAAATAAAAGTAAAAGGTAGTCGAATATTTCTATGCGATTTCAAGCGCACTTTGTCGAGTCATGTGTATTCATGATGCTCTACATCGTTATGCAATTAAGTGCTTATGAATTTTTAAAATTTAATTAGAAAAAATTTAAAATTATCGTAACATATAACTAGTCAAGTATTTATAATTATAAAATAGCTTAAATATTTATTAAATAAAAATTAAAGCTTAACTTATCAAATAAATTATTCAAAAATAAACATTAATGCGAAAATTTAATACAATAAAAATAAATAAAATTTAAAAATTATATCAATACAAAAAACACACAGTTCAATTACACTCGCTGACAAATAAAATTGCATGCAAAAACATTCTTCTCACAAAAATTGTTCATGATAATAAATTAACTTAATTTCTACAATAAAAATTGCTGACACTTATTATTTTATTTACTATCGAAAACACATAACCGCTGCAATCTGATAACCACTCTTTTGTATAAGTTAATAAAAAATGGTCAACTCGTTAAAAATTAGTTTGCTTTTCAGAAAAGGAAAAAAGTATGGTTCCAAAGGTTTGGTTCGTATCAAAAAACACTTCTAAGTGAGAAACTTGTTGTTCTTCGCAATATTTTCCGGTTATCGGAGACCAATTTGACCTTACATTTAACACAACATTGGTACACGAAAATATAGCTGAGCTATTGTGAATGAGCGCTGAAAATTTTTTTTTTAACTTCCAATCTGTTTATTTGTGATGTTTGTAAAGGTTTAATGCTTTCTTTAAGTCAATTTAATATTTATATTTATCAAATCACTACCAAAGAAACTGTATTGCTCAAGACACTGAAGATGCTAAAGGTAAGAAGTGAAAGAGTCTGACATTTGAACAATGGATGTTTTTAAGCTTATAGTTTCAAATCGCTTACTTTTCAGTTCACCCAACAAAACACGATTTTTTTCCATTTCCTATAAACATACATTTATAACTGCTTCGAAGACAATATAATAATAAATACTACTAACTATTTGGTAAATATTGCTCATGAAATGAAAATAAAGCATGAATACTTTCATATGTACTTATATTTATTAAAACATATTGAACAGACACTAAAACTGAATTTTGTTATAAAATACTCCAACTAAAAATACACACAAGCGAAACCAAGCCAAATATTTAATACTAACTATTTATTAATAATAAAAAATAATTGAAACATACAGTATAATCTACAAAGTATATACATATGATTAGACTGCGATCCCAAAACTTTTTCCTGTTTCATTGATCATTCTGTCATTTTTCATCATATCATATAACTAAATCACAATAACAACGCAAATATTTTGCTTTCTAACCTCACTTTAAAATTTTTTGCTTTTCAAACCATTTGCAACTTCAAATCAAAAAATAAATTACAATTTTAAAACTTTATAAGCAAAAATTCTTGGTCCCATGAACAGTCTAAATAGAGACAGACATAAATTATAAATAAAAACAAACTGTAATTTTAAAACAAAAAATTTTAAAAAGTTGTGATGACCACAAAAATTTTTACATACATAAGAATAAAAGTGCGAGTAAATAACTAATTTACGAAATACATAGCATTTCAATAGCATGAAAGCATACACACAACATAACGGCATATAAATTAAGAGCAAATTAATTTTTTCATTCAAATTGTTAACACTAAAAATATTGCAAATTCAACAAGGTTATTAAATAATTAATGCTTAAAAATAAAAAATAAATTAAAATTTAATAAGCTCGTATTATATTATATAATATATGCAAAGCTATGCAAAAACATTTACACGTTCTTTCTCACATACGGACTGTGATTTCATGTAAAATAATAACAGTTGAATATTAGCGCATAGACTAACAAACAAATACGAAAGCCGAATAATTAATTTATAGAAAAAATTATATACGAATAATGGTTGAAAAAAATTAAAAAAAAAACTGACAATTTTGATTTTAAACAAATAATTTAATTAAACTGCGCAAGTACAGTGTGTACGAAAAATAATTATTGACTCACACTATTTTTGAATAATAAAACGGAGCGCCTAAAACATTTACTCTAGTGTTAAAATTGTTATTATCAAAAACTTTAACATTAGCAATATTGAAAATTGTCGTTAGGTAAGCGAATGATATCAGCTAACGTTAAAGCAGTAATGTTGTTCAATTAATGAAATTCATGAAAAATATTATTAATATTAATATTAAATATTTTAGTTGTGTTTGCCTTATACTTAACAAATGTAGTGATTATTAAAAATTCAAAATAAAAGCAAGAGAATTTAAAAATTAAGCGCAATCAAAATTTCTCATAAAAACATAAGAAGATATAGTAAAACTTCCACTTACTTGTGAAGTGTTGCTTGTTTATTGGTAAAACTCCGTCCTGAGGCTTCAAGCGAATGAAACGTATTACGAGTATTTGCTTTCTGTTTTGTTATAGTTTATTCAACTTGGGTTTGGTTTGTTCTGAAATTATTAATTCACTTATGTTCTTGTTGTTTTTTGTATCATAAAATATTCCTTAAATAGTTTTGGGAAATGTTGCTTAGAGGTTGGTACTTGAATCTATTTACTACAAATTTGTTAGTATTAAATTTATATAATATCTTCATACAAGTATGTGGTGGCGTCCCTTGTTAAAAACATATTTGCTAAAAATTTTCTTCAAACCTTTTAAGTTCCAGACTATTTTCCAAAGAATTTGTGTATAGTATTACCCTCACTGGTTTAATTTAACAGATGGGAACTCGGTTCAAAGTATATTTCTTCAACTTATAAGGCCTTTGCGTAAGAAAGGGATGAACGATCACACGTACACAAGAGTTTCAGTTAGAATGCTCAATTCGGCCTTAACTCATAAAAACTTGTACAGAAATCTCTAGTAGCGCTGTTGGGTAATTAATCTTGAGTTTATATGTTTTCAATCTTTTGCACCATCCAACAAAGAAAATTGTTCAAGTCGGTTTATAGTTCACACTCTGTGCTCTCTCCAACCAGATCTAAGGCATTCTTACTTAAACTTTTCCGACGTTATTCTCAATTAATTTGAGACCCCATATGGAACCAGGAATAAAACTTATACTCGGAGACTAGGAATAAAACTTATCATTTTTTTCATGTCCTGGACTTTCTTGGGTATCTAGAAACAGGCTTTAGATAACCTCGAAAAAATAATTTGGTTAACATTTTTTATATTTCGTATTCACGTAAATCATAATTTTAAGTAATCTTTAATACCAAATATCGGAGTGAGAAAAAAATTGTAATGCAAATAAGTACTTTGTTTTCTACCATTTTGGTTGTTTTAGGAAAGGAAAACTTATTTTTAATAAAATATTAACGTAGTTTAGCTCCTCTTCTCTTATTTACCATTTATTAAAATTTTAACTATATTGTTTCACTTAGAAATATGTAAATCTTTCCGTTTTTATACCTTTCAATTTTAAAAATATTTTTTTTTTTTTTACTTTTTTTTATAAATTATAAATATTTTCTTAATGTTTAATCCAAGATATTTGAGACTAAAAATAAAATTTCCAATATTAAATTTTTATTATTAATATTTATTTTTAGTTTTTCATGCCATTTCAGACAGAATCAGTATTAGAAGATGAAAACTGATCTTTTAATCCAAGATTGAAAATTTAATTTTTGGTCCTCAGAATTAAAAATTAAAAATTTAATGTAAACTCAAAACCATAGGAAAAGGCTCGATGCTTACATACGCTAGATGAAATTATTTCACTCCTCTTATCTATTAGGTGCCTACCGTGATCGAGTGAAAATATAGCGGAAGAAACTTGGCCATACCATAAGCAAAGAAAACAAATATGAGTCATCTATGGTTGAGCAGTATTGTTGATCAATTTTTCTCGAGTTTGAATATGAAATTGCATAAACATTTTTATGCCCGTTATTTTCCAAGTTGTTGCTTTTTTTTTTCAAACGCAACATAAAGTTTAATTTTTTGTCCTAAATAAAGGTTCCAACGTATACAAGCTATTTATTTTCAATTTAAACCGTGCATAATGAATCATTTACATTTTCAATATATTTTATCTGGGATTTTTTGAATTTTTGCAATAAAATTCTTACCTCCAAAGCAAATAAACTTACAACTTTGAAAAAAAAACTTTTTGCTCTACCAAAAAGGTCATGCTGATTTTTTTCATAAAAACATTCCTTGAACACTTATCCGCAGTTATATTTGAGCATCAAATGTATTGCAAATGCAAAATGCATTCATACAGCACACCATGTCGTATAAGCAACACATAGCAATGTTCAAAACACTTGTATGAATGCTCAGGTCATTTGACCTAAAACTTTAATTTTAATCATTTTTATTTTTAAACGAAAGTTTTTATTTAAAAAAAAAATTTGGTTTGTTTGTTGTTTTTTAGGCACGCTTTAATTTCAAAAGTATTTGTGTTATATCCTTATATTTTTAGGGCAAAAACTGAAACTTCAGGTGTATTCCCAAAAAAACAATTAACTTACATCTGCTTATTACAAGCTGTTGCTTACCGTTTACGCGACTGCATTGCTCACACCTTTAGATTATTGGTTTATGAACCTAGAATTTTATTTCTAATTTTTTAATTTTTTTTATTACTTAATTACTTTTAAATATTTTTGAAGTATTATATGTATATGAAATATTTAAATATTTTACTACATTTTCGTAGTTTACAATACTCTTCGCCATCTATGAAATGAAAAAGTAAATATAATTATAATTAAATGAATTAAATACATATACTTATGTAATTACAAAACTCTACAAAATTGTTTTTTTTTTTTTTTGTTTGTTTATTTCATCTGGAATTTGTGAAGAAGATAGTTTTCAACGTTGCTAAACCTACAAATATACAAAACAAATTATTAAGATTACCAAATATTGAATAAACTAATATGATTGATTTGAAAATGAGACTAATGCAAACATTTCGAGTTATATTTTATATTAACAGCAGCCTTATGCAAGTTATTTATTAGTCAAAATTTCGAAACTTATGGCCGAAGCGGTTGAAAATAATATTTTTGAATAATTTGTCTCTTGGTCTTCATAGAAAAATATCGAACTAAATATATTAAATTATGTGGCAATATTAAATTATAATAATAGATAATAAAATATAGTTGACTAAGGCTAAAAATTTGTTTTGAAAGATTTTTCGAAAATGAAAATTGGTTTTGCTCAGTAATTTCTCACAGATTTTACGATAGTATGGTGGACTTGCATTACTGTTTAACACATGCATAAACGCTTTTTTCTTTACTAACGCTTAATTTAAAAAAAAAATATTGTCACATTGGTAAATATACAAATATATACATATGTACATATACAAAATATTACACAAACAATTTGCAAACGGAGAAGAAATGTAAATAGTACCGAATATAGCAACATTTGAGGCAATATTGAACAATAAATAACACATTTTTGAAACCAGTTTCCATACATAACACATACATATATATGTGTC